TTTGCCTCTTCAGTTCAATGAGAGTGCTGTGCTCAGCTTGCAACCTACCTCTTGATATTGGGGTCAAAAAATTGCCACCAGGCAAAGAACTGGGGCAATCTTGGGACTTAATTTATCTTTTCCTGGGGATCATAATCATGTGCCAGCTATTGGTCAATATCTAGAAAGTTTCCTTGCATATTTTATGCAATTTTGTAATTTTTGTGACAGCAGGACTGCTGGTCTAATGTCATTTCCAACATAGTTTTATTAAACTTATTTTTTCTGCTTAAATCAGCCAAATTCAGTTTCTGTTGCATGCAACTAGAAACCCTGGCTGATACAAGCCCCTACTTTATGCAGTGACCTATGATTGGTGCTTGGCATTCATTACATGATTTAATCTCCATTTAGAAAAAAAAATCATTCCTTGTGGAAACCAAAGAAATGGACAAGAGGCATTTCTCTTTAACAGTGAGGACAAGGGTGAGAGGAAGGAGGTGTCAGCGAGAGAAGCATTCTAGATGGAGGAAGCATGTATACATTCATAAGACAGTCAACAAACAAGAAGTAAAGTGTGAAACCTTTGGCATTTTTAAGGGAATAGTCCCGAGGCCTTCATAAATTCTCCTAATCCAATAAAATCACTTTAACATAGAATGTTCTCCATAAAATGCAATAAAATATAATTTTTGTATAGTAGGTTCCTATAGGGTTGTCTTAACTGTCCCTCCCACCCCTTTTAACATAAGTACCACTAGAATAACCAACTATCCCAGTTTGCCCTGGACTCTTGTGGTTTTAGCACATACCAGGAAATCTCTCAGTCTCAGGCAAACTGAGAAAGCTATCATTTAATATTATATGACATTGCTCACCTAGCTAGTTTATTGGTCTTAGATGGGCACTAGGGTCAAACTTTGTCAATGAATCCCTCCCTAGATTTATGGATATGAAAACTTAGTGTCTGTGGAAGCCACGGGAGTGCCTCTCGGATCTTTCTATAGAAAATCTACTGTGAGATGTGGTCAGCTAACAGCCACCAGCTGAAGCACTTTTGGAATATCTTTGCATCATTTGATCTAAGGACATTCCCCTCCCAGGCATCTCCAGCCAATTTCTCAGCATGAGATGGATACTGGGGCCAATGTGGGAATCTTCTTATCAGCAATCTTTGCTCTGGAGCTCCTAGTTGAGGTGGTTGAGACTTCATTAGTGCTGTACTGAAATCTGAGACACTTTTTATTCATTCCTCTTCCTTTCCTCTCTTTTAATAAGTGTCAGGCCTGCATTGTGGTCTGCCTACTCCTGATCGTTCCATTCTTTATTTTCCAAGACATCAACCACAATAGACCTGATTTTCAGAGAACATGTTCTGGCTTAGTGTCTCTCTCTAGTGGTTGAATCTATAATATGGTAATCTAGAAAGGTGTCAGTAATCCTACTTACTGTTACATGGACTTGAGAAAAAAAAAGATCTTGAGGGTGGGTAAGGAGAGAAAGAGAGGAAATAGAGATTTTTAAATGATAGAGTTTTGATTGAAGTCATTTGAATCCTTGGTTTTAACCATTCTTGAGGGGAACTGTACCTTGCCCTTTAAAAATTTTCATTGTTTCAATTCTTGAATTTTGTGAGACGCCGCATTATCTCCCTTTTGCTAGTTTCAGGTAGCTTTTTGTCACGTTCAACTAATGAGTCCTAACTAATACCTCTTTACTGCAAAACTAATTATATAGGCTACTGAGTTTATGCTGAATCATATTCCTTTTTAGAAACAGAAATGTTCATATCCCCCAAAACAAATTAATACACTTTTCAGCTTTCACTAAATTTTTGTCCATGAGTAAATGAGAAAAATTTTGCATGGCCTAAATGATTTCTAAAAAGCTTCAGCATTTATTTATTTCTCTGTGGAGTACATAGCAGACTTGTTGTCATAGACCAAAGCCTCAGCCAAATTCAACATTACACTGTATCCAGAATATTTATTTTCTAGCTAGAAGCCATTATTTTTATTACAAATCTTGATTCTTTCTTTCCTATATTTTTAACCCTTTCAAAGATCACTAGAAGTTGGCTCTTTTAAAAACTATCTTTAACAAATCAAAATTAATACATAGTTTTAACCACCGCTTCTCAAGAACTTCTAAGGTTATGAATAAGATTAGAGAGCGTTAAGACTTCATTAAGATGCTGATAAAACCAAGATATAGATATTAGCCAAAGATGATGGCTCCCACACATCATTCAATACCAATAGTCTGTGATGGTAGTGATTTGGCTTAGAGAAGGGGTTGAAAAATTATAGCCCACAGGCCAAATCCTGCCTCCTACCTGTTTTTGTAAATAAGCTTTTTACTGGAACACATCTACACTCATTCATTTATGTATTGTCTGTAACTGCTTTTGCTCTGTGAAGGTAGAATTGAGTAGCTGGAGAGAGATACTGTATGTGACTCATAAAACCAAAAACATTTACTATTCTGACCCTTTACAGAAGAAAAAAAAAAGCCAAACCCTGGTCTTGAATGTTAGCAGAACAGACCGGGGCAAATGAATGAGCAGGTTATATTTCAGAATCAGAACAGTAACAAGCTTGGAGTGTTCTAGGAACAGAAGGAAGGCTGTGGCTGGAACATAAAAGGACTCAGATACTATTGCTTTTTTTTTTTTTTAATCTATTACATTTGTACCTATTGCTTGTTATTCAGTCATTAATTCATTCACTTCAAAAATATTAAGTTCCTCTCTGTGCTATACACTGTGTGAGATGTTACACACACACACACATACCCTAAGGGAAACAAACAAGTAAACAATTAAAACAGTTAGTTACTAACATCATCATCACCATAGCAGATAATACTCATCCCTTAGGTGCCAGGCATGGCCATATGCTTTACACACACTGTCTTATTTAATCATTATAGCCTTGTGAGAGATGCTATTATTATGCCCATTTGTGAAATAAGAAATTGAGAGTCAGAGAAATGAAGTCCTTTGTCTAAAGTCTCATCAGTGCTCTGCAAAGTAGCACTCAGGGCATCTACCACTTTTTTTTCCTCCTTTTGCTCTGGCTTGTTGCTGATGCCTTATGTTAAGATCACTGCTGCTTGATGGTATCACACAACAAAGGCACCACTACCACTGCTAATATTAACCGATGTCTATGCCATATCTTACATCTAAAGCATTAATGTTTGAGTTCAGGGTATTGTTTCTTATATATACCAAATATCTAGGACCAATGAACATATTTTGTGAAAGAGTTCTGTCATTTTTTACTTGTGCTTTTTTACAGCTCCTGCCCTAGGGTCTGGAGCCAGATTCCCTAGGTTTGAATCCCAGCTCTAAAACTTTACTGTGTGAGCCTAGTGAAACTGCTTAACCTATTTGTGCCTCAGTTGCTTTATCCTTAAAATAGAAATAATAATATCACCAACCTTAAATGTTTCTTATAAAACACTTAGCCGGGTGTTTGGAATACAGTCCAGGTTTAGTAAATGTTGGTTACTATTACCTAGGCAACTGGTTTCTTTTCGTGACTCAAACAAACAGGTATTTTCTATCAACCACTTGTCTTTCTGGATACTTTCTGTTTGTTGATTTCAACTTACCTTTACTGAGCTCATGCACTCTAATTGCTACTGTCATGATATTCCTATTAAAGGATTTTTGATCATGCTTTTTCGTCTGGATTTTCTTCCTTTTCCCATTTGCCTGGCCAACTCCTATTTGTTCTTTAAACTTAAAGGCATAGAGCATAAGGACATGGACTATATCTGGTTTTCATCATTTTACACGCAGAGCTTAGTATAGTGCCCGGCATATGGTAGGAACTCATTGCTTGTTGCATGAATGAATACTAGCCAGACAAAATCTAGACTCTTATCTTATTTAGCTTTTCCTTTTCATATTAACTCACACTGTGGATAAGGCATTTTGCTTGTCTATTCACTGGTTCTAGACAATTTTCAACACATATTTATTAAAAACATAGAAATGTTAGACTCTGTGCTAGTGGCTTGAAAAATAAATATAAAAAATACATGTTTTATGCTCTCAAGAAGCTACTTGTTCATTGGTGGATACAGACATGCAGAAAGAATAATTATAATCCAGAATAAGTGGTGTACTTGAGGCCTGTACTGCATCCATTGAGCATACTGGACTCAGGGAAAAGAATATACATTTTATCTAGGAAGGTTTCACAGAGTAGGGAATTGCTAAATTGAATAAAAAATAATCAGTAGCTGTTTTACAAATAAACAAGAGGAAGTGAGAGCATCTGTGGCGGAAATCATTCCATGGCAAAGTTGTGGAGGTTTTTTCTTCTTCTGTTGCTCCTGACTTTGACAAATAATTTCCTTTACTACCTTTTTGACATTAAACTAAAACTTTAAATCTCAAGTAAGTATAATACTGCACAATTTCCCATTTTCATATGTATATCTTATATTTTTTTGTCTGTACTTGCCCTCAAGTTTTTTCTTGGCCCTGGATTTTTTGGTCCTTCTTTGGAATACATATTTTTCTTAAAATTTTACCTGCATAAGGTGTTCATTCCTAATGGCATAGTCCTTTTTATTGCTCATTGTATTTTGCACTGTACCTGGACCCTAGATTCAAGACGCTCAACTGAACCTATGGGAGTCCAGTAGTGAGTGGTATGTGACGCCCGTAAGTTCAAGAAAGTGGTGGAAAGGTAGTAGAAGAATTTTAGTTCTAGCAAACCTCGATAAGCCACCATAAACAGAAGCATAGTGGGGGAATTCGGGAGGAGCAATGAAATGGTAGGCAGGCGACCCAGGTTTTACCCGCAGCACAGCTTTACGGGCCCGTCTTTTCTCATCCCTGAGCCCATGGCTTCAAATCTGTTCACTGAAGTCGACTGACTACAGCGCCCTGACCCAGTATTGTTGGATCTGAAACTCTAGGACGCCCTCGCAGCGGCAAGGCCCCCGGGGCGCGAATCACCCACCCCGCACGGCCGGAAGAAGCGGGGCGGGGCTTCCAGGCTCTCCGCCGGCCTGAGCGGTCTGGGGGAGGGGAGAGCGGGGCCGACAGTTTCGGGGTCAAACAGCAAAACACGGGTGAAAGGCTGGCTCCGAGACCATCCTTGCTTGGAATTTCGCTCACTCTGCGGAGTTGAGAGTCACGACCTCCAGCACAGGTGGGTCCTGTCCCGTGGGTTGGGGAGGGGGGCTCCTGGATGGGTGCTACGGATGGGTTTGCACAGGCGCTAGCTTTCAGGCCTGGCGCAGCGGGAGGAGACGGCTGCCACACCGGCTGTTCTGTCCTAGGGCGGTGGTACTCACCTCTACCCTGGTGGAGGAAAAGGCCACTCCTGCCTTGCCGCAGGGCTGTCGTCACCGTTTGTGCCAGTTGCGCGACAGAATCCGTCCGGAGATCAGCGTGGGGCCACATGGGCCTAGCGCTCAGGAAGAGCTGGAAGAGCTGTAACAAGCTCGCGTTGGGACTGACGCCCAGTATACATTGTTTCAAAGTCGGTCTACTTTCCAGCCCTGGATCTGTCACCGACTTGATGTCTCCCCACTCCGTGCCCCACTTTGCTCGGCGGTCGAGTGAAAAGTGGAACTCGGCTGTCGGCAAGACCTTGCAGCGCTTCTTTCATTCTCATATCCACTAATCTTCTCTGCCCAGATTTTACCCTTTGTCTGCCCCATCTGGAGCAAGACTGCCTAGGGAGTGGCAGAGTCGGGCATTGGGTAAGTTAGGCTAGGAAGTGCTCTTTCTGTTCTGAAGACAACTCTGAAAAACCTATTAATACTTCTAACTGCCCGGAAAACTGGAAATGACTTTCATTCAATGCATTTACTGAAGAATGCTTTTGGGGATACTTTACTATTAAAGATTTAACCAGATAATTGCCTAAGGTGTTATGTGTTAAATGCACATAACAAAGCCTAGCAAAAATCTCATGATAAAAGAGTTGGGTGATTGTGTACTCAATCATTGAAAACAAAATAAAAGAAAACTTAAGCTCTCATATTTTAGAAACACTTCAATAATCCACTCCAATACAGCAGTATTTTGGAGTTTCTTCTTAGCTTGGTTTTCCCCTTTTCAGGGCATGCTGTAGTAAAAATTACATACAGTTTATTTGACATTCATTTAACTGTAAAAGCAAAGAAGAATTATAGACACTATGGACTAACATTGTGGTGTCAACTTTCAGTTCTTCCTTGTTAAGGAACTAGTAATAATGATAATGACGACGATGTGTTAAGCAAAATACTATAGTTTTCACAACAACCAGGAGAGGTAAGTAGGGTTATTTAGCACAATACTTAAAGTTGTGCTTTATCTCATAACCGGTGTAATGAAGGGAATGTTCACTGGGGTGGTTGAGTCCAGAGGCTTGTTTAGTGTGCCCCATCTAGTTCTTTATTTCTTGGAAGTGTGGATTTACAGATGACTTCCTTGTTTTGACATCTGTATCAAGAACCACAACTAGTTCTGTATCTCTGCTTGTCAAGCCAGGGAATGGCAGTAAAATAGCCCAACTGATCCCTCATGGTATCTGTGATGTTTCTGGTAGCTGTGTTTTCTGCTTGCCAGTGCTGGAAAGGGGGGCCCTTTTGTTAATAAACCTCTTTGGTGGAAACAGTCTTTCTGATTGGAGGCAAACTGAGCATAAATTCATCAGTTAGTCACCACTGTAATCCTCTTTCTGCGCCAAGCATCCCCTCTGCTCATATGGGCTGTACATGCCACTACCCCGTGTAAAGATTTACAGGGTAAGGGGCTCTTGAAAAAGCCCAGCCTTTGCCATACCTGCAGGTTCTAGACAAGGAGTGGCTGATGTCATGGTGGGTGTTCTTCTGGATGATACTGAGACCTGATGATTTCCCAAATGTTCTGGAAAATTAGAAGGTGCTGGACATCTGCTGAGCTAACCTTAAGTGTGATTTTACGGCTGGCTATTTGGCAAGACCTGGTGACTATTAGCCACATTTTGACGCCATTCATGATACTCTCTATTCATTCACTCCAAAGGCAATCAACGAATGCCTACTCTGTGCTAGGATGCTGATGCACTCACTGAAACAGGAACTTTAAGCATGCTCAGTCTGAGGCATTCTTACCTTTTCCTACTCACTACATCTAATCACTACAAAATCTTGTCACTTCTATATCCTAAATATTTAAAAACATTTTCCACTTCTTTTTGCTGCCATGGCTACTTCAAATTTCAAGCCAACAACATTCTTTTAAAATGCATTTTAAAATGGTTTTTTGTTTATTTATTTATTTATTCATTTATTTATTTATTGAGTTGGAATCAAACTCTATTGCCAGACTGGAATGCAGTGGCTCACTTATGACTACAGCAACCTCAACCTGCTGGGCTCAGGCGATCCTACCGCCTCAGCCTTCCAAGTAGCTGGAACTACAGGCATATGCTACCACATCCAGATAATTGTTTTTTAAAAATTACTGCGGAGACAAGGTCTCACCAAGTTGCCCAGGCTGGTCTTGAACCCCTGTGCTCACGCAATCCTCTCGCCTCAGCCTACCAAAGTGCTAAGATTACAGACATGAGCCACCGCACCAAATCATTGTGTGACCGACCCTCAGCTCTCATGGGAAAATCACTACCCCTATCATACCACTACAGCAACAACAAACAACAGCCTAATGACCTCCGTATGATCCCTAATAAATTGTCAAAGTAAAGAGATGAGCTTTCTTTTATTTTTTTTCCTTGCTTCCCAGAGTACTAAAATGTATTTAGGAATAATTTACATTTTTTTCTAGTAGTTTTATGGTTTCAGGTCTTAGACTTAAGTCTTCTAGCCATTTCGAGTTAATTTTTATATATAAGAGGAGTCTAGTTTCATTCTTCTACATATGGATATCCAGTTTTCCCAGAACCATTTATTGAAGAGAGTATCCTATCTCCAAAGTGTGTTCTTGACACAAGTGTGTTGTTGACAGTCAGGTGGCTGTAAATACATGAGTTATTTCTGAGTTCTTTATTCTGTTCTATTGGTCTATGTTTCTTTGCCACTACCATGTTCTTTTGGTTACTATAGGCTTATAATATGTTTTGAAGTCAAGGTAGTGTGATACTACCAGCTTTGTTTTTTGTTTTTGCTCCAGATTACTTTGGCTATTCAGGCTTTTTTGGTTCCATATAAATTTGGGGATTTTCTATTTCTATGAACAAAAGTCATTGGTATTTTGATAAGGATTACATTGAATCTATAAATTGCTTTGGGTAGTGTGGTCACATTAATAGTATTAATTCTTCCAGTCCATGACTATAGGCAGCAGTGGCTGGCAAGGAGAGTCTGTCCTACGGCACGTGTAAGTGTGGCAACCCTACCGCTGTGGGAGGAGAGCACGGTTGCTGTCAGTGGGAGCGACCTCCAGGCAGGTGGGTTTCAGGTTCTGGGGAGTGCATACTTTGTTAGCTCCCTTTGTCCTGGGAGCAGCCACCCCAGTTTGTTGAGCTTCTCTTTCCCTGAAGTACAGGACACTGTGTGGGCTAGATTGTTGGTGATCCTGCCACTCTGCTGGGTGAAGTAGGGTCCGAGTGATTAAATAATAGCCCACTGACTTAATTTTAACAAAGGAGAAGTTTATTAGTCAAGGGTCTGCCAGTTGGCGACCGCTTGTAGGAAGAGAGTTTCAAGCAAGATAGCCCCGAGCCCCCACTCAGAGCTCCCTTAAGTAGTCCTAGCTTACATCTTGGTTAGCTAAAGTTAAAGTTGGACATTTTTCAGAGTTCTTATCACAATATTTTGCTGACATCAGCAAGCTAGCGAGTTCACAGAAACAGATGTGTTAATTAGACTAGTGTAGCCGGTAAAGATACAATTTATCTTGTAATGTTTACAGAGGAGAAACCTTCAAAGAAAAACCTCCAGGAAGGGAGTAATGCCTGTTTTGAGGCTGAAGTTATTTTTTTCACCTCTATCCTTTACAATCCCAGGGGCAGAGGCTGCTCTTTTCTTTTACACTGGGTACAACTGGCATCTTGCTGCTGCAGCCTTCTCAGTGAATGTGGAGAGATGTCAGCAGTTCCCTCAGGATGTGAAGATGCAAGGTTATTGAGCCCCACAGTAAGATGCTGTCTAGTGAGTGTCAAGCTCTCAAAATGGCACCATGCTGCAGCTGCTGGGGACTCAGGGTTTATGTGTGAGCTTCCTCTCTGGAGCAGTGTTGTTGCACAGACTCCAGGAAGTTCCTTATGCAACTGTCAGGGCTCACTGGAGGTGAGGGACTCTCCTGTGGCCAGGATTACAGGAGTTTATAGTGTAAATGTAAGCCACTGGAAATCTCTCACTTCCTCTTTCCTTGCATTGGAGAGTCTCTCTGATCTCCTGGCCCATCCTGGCCAGGCTGTCCACCTCACCTCCATCTCCTTTGGTACCTCAAGTGTTTCCTTTCACTCTTCTGCTGGATTCCAGCATTGTCTCCTAGATGCTCTATTCAAAGTGTGGTTATCTACTCACTATTTTGGTTCTTTGTGGAAGAGTAGGGTGACTTGTGCTTCTAAACAGCCATCTTGAAAGACTCTCTCCCAATTCCCCCATTTTGTAACAGATATTTTGTACCAACTTCTTTATTAAACAGAAGTGAAATTCATGGATAGTATAACTTACCTATACATACAATTTAAAAATAAGAGCACAACACACTAACTAGAATTTAAAGGAAAAATTAAATGTAAGTGATTTACAATAAAATATGTACTTGAATGTGTAGATGATGGAACATGACTACTTGAAGTGCACCTATGTATGGGTCATCATAATTAAGATAGCTACAAATACAGGCTCATGCCACAAAGTGCAATTATTATTGGTAACATGATTTTTTTAAAAGTGAATAATTTTGGATACATTTCTGAACAAGAGAAAATGCACTTATCTCAATTTACTTAGGAGATTTACTCCTAGGAAATTCAGTGTATAGTAAATTCATGCAAAAATACTGTGTTTATATGTAATAAAAGGAGTTAAGTTCTATGCTCTGGACATTATAAACAGATTTTTTATCTATAGGCTTGTCCAGGGTAATATTAAAAAGTTAGGTAGGAGTCTCCATTGCCTGAGACTATCCTAAACATTCCAGAATGTCTAATGGCCCTGGTGACACTAAATATCAATAATGCCCCTCCAATTATTGTGATAATTAATTCCCCATACATTTTTTAGCACACCCCCAGGAAGTGTCAAGACTATTGAGAGCTACCACTTTAGTATAAATTGTACATGTATCTTCAACTCTACTAAGTAAAACATGCCAAAGTAATTTTCAAAATGGCTATGTCAATTTTTTCTCACCAGTAATATATAAGTGGTAATGCTTTTGATATTTTGTTGTTAAGTCTGTTTGTTGTGATTTTTGTGCCCTTTAACTTGGCT